TAGTTTCGAGGCCCGTGAATTTAAATAATTTAATTCTGTATTTAAATTAGTTAAATTAGTTTCCGGGCCCGCGAATTTAAATAATTTAAATCTCGAATTAAATTATTTAAATTCGCGGGCCTCAAAACTAATTTAAATAATTCAAATCGCGATTTAAATTATTTAAATTCTTTTCCGAGCCCGTGAATTTAAATAATTTAAATAATGTAAATAATTCAAATCGAATGAGGATTTCTCCGAACCCAGACCATTTAGATAATTTAAATAATTTAAAAATTTAAATAATTTAAATAATTTAAATAATTTAAATCCTGATTTGAATTATTTAAATTAGTTTCGAGGCCCGGGAATTTAAATTATTTAATTCTGTATTTAAATTAGTTAAATTAGTTTCCGGGCCCGCGAATTTAAATAATTTAAATCTCGAATTAAATTATTTAAATTCGCGGGCCTCAAAACTAATTCAAATAATTTAATTCGGGATTTAAATTATTTAAATTAGTTTCCGGGCCCGCGAATTTAAATAATTTAAATAATTCAAATAGAATGAGGATTTCTCCGAACCCAGACCATTTAGATAATTTAAATAATTTAAATAATTTAAATAATTTAAATCCTGATTTGAATTATTTAAATTAGTTTGGAGGCCCGCGAATTTAAATAATTTAATTCGGTATTTAAATTAGTTAAATTAGTTTCCGGGCCCGCGAATTTAAATAATTTAAATCTCGAATTAAATTATTTAAATTCGCGGGCCTCAAAACTAATTTAAATAATTTAATTCGGGATTTAAATTATTTAAATTAGTTTCCTGGCCCGCGAATTTAAATAATTTAAAGAATCTAAATAGATCCAGATTTTCTCCCAGCACAGACCATTTAACTAATTTAAATAATTTAAAAATTTAAATAATTTAAATCGGGATTTGAATTATTTAAATTAGTTTGGAGGCCCGCGAATTTAAATAATTTAATTCGGTATTTAAATTAGTTAAATTCGTTTCCGGGCCCGCGAATTTAAATAATTTAAATCTCGAATTAAATTATTTAAATTCGCGGGCCTCAAAACTAATTTAAATAATTTAATTCGAGATTTAAATTATTTAAATTAGTTTCCGGGCCCGCGAATTTAAATAATTTAAAGAATCTAAATAGATCCAGATTTTCTCCCAGCACAGACCATTTAACTAATTTAAATAATTTAAATAATTTAAATAATTTAAATCGGGATTTGAATTATTTAAATTAGTTTGGAGGCCCGCGAATTTAAATAATTTAATTCGGTATTTAAATTCGTTAAATTCGTTTCCGGGCCCGCGAATTTAAATAATTTAAATCTCGAATTAAATTATTTAAATTCGCGGGCCTCCAAACTAATTTAAATAATTCAAATCCCGATTTAAATTATTTAAATTACTTAAATTATTTAAATTAGTTAAATGGTCTGTGCTGGGAGAAAATCTGGATCTATTTAGATTCTTTAAATTATTTAAATTCGCGGGCCCGGAAACTAATTTAAATAATTTAAATCCCGAATTAAATTATTTAAATTCGCGGGCCTCGAAACTAATTTAAATAATTTAATTCGGGATTTAAATTATTTAAATTCTTTTCCGGGCCCGCGAATTTAAATAATTTAAATAATTCAAATAGAATGAGGATTTCTCCGAACCCAGACCATTTAGATAATTTAAATAATTTAAATAATGTAAATCGGGATTTGAATTATTTAAATTAGTTTGGAGGCCCGCGAATTTAAATAATTTAATTCGGTATTTAAATTAGTTAAATTCGTTTCCGGGCCCGCGAATTTAAATAATTTAAATCTCGAATTAAATTATTTAAATTCGCGGGCCTCCAAACTAATTTAAATAATTCAAATCCCGATTTAAATTATTTAAATTATTTAAATTAGTTAAATGGTCTGTGCTGGGAGAAAATCTGGATCTATTTAGATTCTTTAAATTATTTAAATTCGCGGGCCCGGAAACTAATTTAAATAATTTAAATCCCGAATTAAATTATTTAAATTCGCGGGCCTCGAAACTAATTTAAATAATTTAATTCGGGATTTAAATTATTTAAATTCTTTTCCGGGCCCGCGAATTTAAATAATTTAAATAATTCAAATAGAATGAGGATTTCTCCGAACCCAGACCATTTAGATAATTTAAATAATTTAAATAATTTAAATAATTTAAATCGGGATTTGAATTATTTAAATTAGTTTGGAGGCCCGCGAATTTAAATAATTTAATTCGGTATTTAAATTAGTTAAATTCGTTTCCGGGCCCGCGAATTTAAATAATTTAAATCTCGAATTAAATTATTTAAATTCGCGGGCCTCCAAACTAATTTAAATAATTCAAATCCGGATTTAAATTATTTAAATTATTTAAATTATTTAAATTATTTAAATTAGTTAAATGGTCTGTGCTGGGAGAAAATCTGGATCTATTTAGATTCTTTAAATTATTTAAATTCGCGGGCCCGGAAACTAATTTAAATAATTTAAATCCCGAATTAAATTATTTAAATTCGCGGGCCTCGAAACTAATTTAAATAATTCAAATCTCGATTTAAATTATGTAAAATTCTTTTCCGAGCCCGTGAATTGAAATAATTTAAATAATTTAAATAATTCAAATAGAATGAGGATTTCTCCGAACCCAGACCATTTAGATAATTTAAATAATTAAAATAATTTAAATAATGTAAATCCTGATTTAAATTATTTAAATTAGTTTCGAGGCCCGTGAATTTAAATAATTTAATTCGGTATTTAAATTAGTTAAATTAGTTTCCGGGCCCGCGAATTTAAATAATTTAAATCTCGAATTAAATTATTTAAATTCGCGGGCCTCAAAACTAATTCAAATAATTCAAATCCGGATTTAAATTATTTAAATTATTTAAATTATTTAAATTAGTTAAATGGTCTGTGCTGGGAGAAAATCTGGATCTATTTAGATTCTTTAAATTATTTAAATTCGCGGGCCCGGAAACTAATTTAAATAATTTAAATCCCGAATTAAATTATTTAAATTAGTTTTGAGGCCCGCGAATTTAAATAATTTAATTCGGGATTTAAATTATTTAAATTCGCGGGCCCGGAAACTAATTTAACTAATTTAAATACAGAATTAAATTATTTAAATTCCCGAGCCTCAAAACTAATTTAAATAATTCAAATCATTTAATTCTTCCATACGTTCTCTATACATATAGAAAAACAGGTAGCAACATAGTACATAAAGGTCCCTCTCTCATATATATATATACACACACACAAATGCACGCATTGACTCAAGTCACTGCCTGCGCATATTCGTTCTCACTCCACACACTCGCTCCAGCTCGAGCGCGCGCCATCACTCAGCGTTAACTCACTCCACTCAATTAGTCACCCACTCACCCACTCACCCACTCACTCGCCCATGGTACCCTTTTCCTCCCACTTGCCGCTTTTCTTTGCGTGTTTGGACGGGGACCCACTCACAGGGGGTGTCTTCCCAGACTTTGTACTTTGTTGGGCTGAAGGTTGTGTAACGTGGTGCGGAGCGCCTGGGGTACAGATGTTTTGATATTGTCAGGGTTGTTGGCCACAGTGGTGAAGCCATGTTGAGCCCTTAGGGTCGGGGACCGGAATGGATTTGAGATTAGGTTTGTTCAGAGAGTCAAGAGAGCATTAGGGTTGGGGGAGTATCCGTTGGGCAGTCCTCTGCAGGATCTGGTGGTTTCCGCCTCATTGGATCAGACTGTGAGGGTCTGGGTGCGGAGCCTGGCACAGAAGCACGGAAGATGACTTGGAGAACTTACTTGGAAATTTCTCTGACACGGTCCGCATCGCCAAGGACACCTCGGGCCTGCGAGATAAGACCGTGGCCATTGGTTCATCCATGGGCGGCGGGGGCGCGCCTGGCAAAGGTGCCCTCGTCCACGGGTTGCCTTCGACATGAGTTTCTCGAGATGCGAAAGCAAAGCTTGTGCAAAGACATGCACGTGTGCATTTTTCGAACAAGTCGCGTGTAGGGTGCTCCCTACAGTTTGCGGCCAAACTTTGTCACTCCGACAACTTCTCGAAGCCTTTATGCCGTTTGCTGTGGGACGAGTTGTGATGTCGAAGATGCACTGCGTTGGTGAATGTTGGTGATGACCGATCTTTCGAAGTATCCTTTAGAAGCGATAGTTTCCTGTTCGTGACCCATTGGACCATTCGCTTTTGGGCGCACCTTTGTTGTCTATTGCTGCAGGTGCCAACGATGTTTTCGGCACGTCGGATGCCGTAGTCAAATATGTGTGGCCGACATGTTGGTGTGACCTCTGACTTTTAAAACAGCTGTTTTGTAGCAGACTTGCACGTCGCCTTGCCAGGTCCTTGAAGGCCATGACCGGGGTGTGAACTGGGCATCGTTCCATCCAACGCGTGGTTCTCAGAAGAAGCTTGCTGTGTTGTGCCAGGGGTTGTATACCGGAATGCCTTAACACTTACCGACGTGTGCGATAGTCCCCATTGCAAGAGTCGGGAAGATTTGAGCATGAACTTGATAATATCTTGCCTGCACGACACTGCTAATGCATCACAGGATTTCTGGTGAAAGCTCTTGCGCATGGTGTCCGGAAGTCGCATGATGCGTGGAGCATGCCAGCACCAAATTTGTCCCGCAAGTGCCCGCCATGGCATCAATCTTGTCAACCGGCTTGCTCCCGGCCAGCGTTGAACTAGTCCTAGTTTCCAAGACCCTCTGATCCTGACCTCTGCTCCTGCTTCAGCCAAGAGGCTTCCCCTAATCGTCTCCGGCGCTGACGACAGGCTTATCAAGCTGTGGAGGCAATGGCTGGTCAGGGGGATACGTGTAAGCTTCCGCCTTGGACTAAGCGAGTAACGCAACGAGACATCCCCGAAGTCCTCGCACGGGAGATCGCTGGCTGGATCTGCTCTAGTCCAAACAGTACCCTTGCTTCACCCTTCCAACACTCCCAGCCATTGATTGGAACAGGATGAACGACACGAAGGCCTGGGAGGCGCGGTCAGCGAATCAGTATCAAAATGAGGATAGAAAAGAGGAACTGACCTTGTGAAACCTCACGGGCTCAGCAGGTGGACACCCTTCGAGGGCACTTCAACAACGTCTCCTGCGTGATGCTGGGACCTCAGAGCCCTCCTGTGCCATAGTCCATGGTCCGGGAAGCAGCCGAAACGTCAAAAGCCAGAGCCTGTCCAGCGTGAGCTGATCAACTGCTGTAAGTTGATGTCCCTGGGCAGGTTCCATCCGAAGAAGGAGCTGATCTTGTCGAACTCCGAGGCCTGGATCCTGTGTCCTTTTACCTCTTTGCGACTCTTTGCAGAGCCTTCTCAATGTGGCCGAAAGCGGCTGAAAGAAGGAGGGGAGGAAAAAACCTTTAAAGATCCTGATGCCAGGACCGAACGATACGAGTCTGGGACGTGACCAAGCGGACCGGCATCCACACCTTCCGACGCTTCTTGGTGAATAATGGTGAATATTGATTAAAACCATTGAAGGGGCCAACCAAAAATGCAACATTTCTTTGGTTTAATTAAGGGCGTAGAAGGGCTTTTATGGGGATTTGAGATTTGTTTATGAATAAACACAGAAGGTGTTGGTAGATGTTGGTGAGTGTTGGTAAGTATGCGAAATGTCCGGTCTCGGATCAGTGTGCCGCTCCGCCCCCGAGAAGCTCCTCTTGTGATGGTTTCACGGACTGACCAAGTTGGAGCGTGTTTCGAGAGCTGATCCGAAACCTGACCCAGGCGAGAACGACCGCTTTTGGATCATCACGGCGCACAGGCCTACTGCGCTGCACGTCGTCTAAGGAGTGCTCTGCAGGGCGTTCCCATCGCAGCATCTTGTGGCAGGTCTTCGAACTTGATTGCGGTTGGCCATGATGCAGGGTGCCCTTCTCAGCTCCCCCTGCCGCATTCTGCGGCCAGTGCCCGAAGCTGCCAAACTTTGCACCACCGGAGACCCGAGAACATGACAAGATCTCCCCTCAAGGATGGTGGTCTTCAAGCTGGACTGCGAGCGACCCCTGGCGCAGTGCCATGGACACAGCCTCTATGTCGTGCAGGACCGATGCGGTAGGACACAGAACGTGGCATTGGCCTGAGTGCAAAAGTGACAACCACACCCCTCCCACATGACCTTCGGTGCAGCGTCATTCCCCCCCCTGGTAGCCCTGTGGTCCCGTTTAGGATTTCGGGTTTTAGGGTTTAGGGGTTTAGGGTTTCAGGGTTTTGTGGTTTAGGCTTGTCAAGGTTTTGTGGGTTTTGCCTAGGTTCTTGAGGGTTTTGAGGGTTGTTTTTGGGGTTTTCGGGGTGCAGGGCTTAGGTTTTTTTTGGGGTTTAGGGTTCAGGGTACATGGTTTGCGTGAAGGTTTTGGGTTGGGGTGGGGGGGTGAGGCGGGCAGGGGGGCGGGGGGGAGGCAATGGAAGCAAGAGTTTGGGAGATAGTTGTCCGTCAGCGAGGGGGTCGGAAGCCCACGCCTGGACAAGAATTACATCTTAGGATGCTTCACCAAATCAAATCCAGAGTTCATGGTTAGAGTCCCGGGTCTGGCCGTGCCTATGTTTGCTTCGGCTCCGAGGAGCCGAAGCCAACAATTAAAGCCACAGGTAATTCCCCTGTTACTTGTCTGGAGAGAACCTTGAACAACCCCAGAGGCACAACAATTCACTGCAGAGTTAGTTGTGTTGCGCTCTTCTTGTCGTTCTTTTTCGGGTGACGGGGGGTGGGGTGGGGCAGGGGGGGGGGGAGAGGGGATACCATGGGCGACTCGAAACAGCACAAGAAATTAAGAATATATATATATATATATGTATATGTGTATGTGTATATGTGTAGGATGCTACCTAAGTCGGAAAACAAGACCATGAATCATTAGAAAACAGCAAGGAACGAATCAGGAAACAGCGAGGTTTGAATCAGCATGCATGGACAGCCATGCATTTTCATCGGTCTCTCTCACTGGCGATGGCCACAGAAGAGCCCAACCCCAACCTAAGCTAACCTAACCTAACCTGACGGAACCAACCCTAGCCTAATCTGCAATGCAAGAGGCCAGGCCCCTAACCATCCCCTAACCTAACCTAACCTAAACCTAACCTAACCTAACCTAATCAACCTAACCTAACCTAACCTAAGCTAACATGATAGGTTTAAGGGTGTGCTTTTTGAAAAAAGGTTTAGGGATCTCCCCCAAGACACATTTATTGAAGATAGGTCTACTAAGCACCCCCCTTATGATGGGCGTCGATAGACCCCTATACAGACCCCTATGGTAACAAATTTACCACTTCCACACCAGCAGCAAGGTTTGCTTTGTTTAAATAAGGGCTTGTTAGGGTTTAGGGTTTAGGGGTTTTCAGGGTTTAGGATTTAGGGCCTTTTAGGGTGTAGGTCTTGGGGCGTTTTAGGGTTGAGGGCTTAGGGGGTTTTAGGGTTAAGTTTTTTGTTTCGGTTTAGGGTTCAGGTTTCGTTTTGGGTTGAGGGCTTGAGGCTTTAGGGGGTTTTTTGGGATTTAGGTTTTAGGGTTTTTTAGGGTTTAGGGCTTAAGGTTTTGCAGGGTTTTTTGAGGGTTTAGAGTTTAGGAGTTTTTAGGGTTTAGTTTTTTTGGTTTAGTCCTCAGGGCTTTTTAGGCTTTAGTGGTTTTTAGGGTGTTGGGTTGGGCTTTTGGGGTTTAGGGCTTCGGGGTTTTTAGGGTTTCTTAGGGCTTAGGGGTTTTCAGGCTTTAGGGGTTTTTGGGGTTTAGGGATTTTTAGGCCCCCCCCTTTGCAAACACAACACTCGCATGATGGGTTCGAAAAAGAGCAAGCGAGGGGTTGTGGGGGGGGGGGGGGGGGGGGGGGGGGCATGTGCAAGCACAATGCTCGCATGATGGGTTTGAAAAAACATGCCTATGTTTGGGGGTTTTTAGGGTTGGGGTGTAGGGCTTTTTTACGATTCGGATTTAGTAGGGTTTAGGGCTTAGGGCTTAGGGCTTTGTAGGGTTTAGAGTTTTCGGGGTTTGAAGTTGAGGGGTTTTTAGTGTTTAGGTTGTTTTGGGTTTCGGGCTCAGGGGTTCTTAGGGTGTAGGGCTTAGGGCCTTTAGGGTTTAGGGGTTTTTAGGGTTTAGGGGGTAGGGTTTTGAGGGTTTTGGGTTTTTTTAGGGTTTAGGGGTTTTTAGGGCTTAGGGTCTTTTAGGGTTTAGGGTTTTTTGGGGTTTAGGGTTTAGGGATTTTAGGGGGAAAAAATCATTGCGCCCACTCTTTCTGACTTTGTTTCTGATTCGTGCCTTGGTGTTTTCTGATTTGCACCGCCGTGTTTGCACTCCTGTTTGCTGAGATATGCTTGGCTGATTTGCCTGTTACCCTGTATGATATATAAATGTGTAGATACTGCTGCTCATGTTCTCAGATATTTGAATAGAGCTGGTTCGATCATGTCTAAAGCAACAACTCCGGCCTTCAGGTTTCACGGGCTCAATCCAGCTCAAGCCCAGCTCACACAGCCCCCAAAACTTTGGAAACTCACAGAGGTCGTATGTCCGAGAAGTTCTGGACAGGACCGGGAGGTGCAGGTGGTAGATTTGGACAAGGGCCTCAAAGGTGTGCAGCTGGGGCGTGGGCCCAAGTTAAAGACACCGCATAGCGAGAATGTAGCAATCGAATGCGATACAGTGGGCTGCCCTTGCCAGTTTCAAAAGTGTTCGGAAGTGGAAGGGCATGGTCTTGACGCGGCACCATGCCCCCTTGTCATCTGAGTTTACAAGCTTGACATGCCCTGTCAATGCTTTGCTTCCTATCCTTGTTGCGAGCTTCTCTCGCACGAATCGCAGTGTCAGGTCCATGGGGAGGAGGAGAGAGAAGCTGGGATAGCCTGAAGTAGTATGGAGTGCTTGTCTCAGGTCCTGTCGGAGAGCTGCCAACGCCATGACCGCGGGCCTGAAGTCACTCCAGTCACCTGCACTGTGTGTTGCATGGTCTTGCTAAGGTTGTGCACTGCTATGGCAAGACAGTCTTAGATTTATGATGGGCTGGAATTGCATAAAGAATGCATTGGCAGTGTAGATGTATCTGAGCCAGGTTCAACACCTATAATCCGTCGGAGACCAACGTCCTTGTGTTCTACACCCAGGCGCTGCAACAGCTTTCTCTTGGCGGATGAAATGTATTCGCAAGATGGCCTCATGGAGCAAAGCCATCGACACTGATACGGCTACATGCACCATTCTACTTTTGGCAGGATGGTGGTTGCTACGACCTGTTTGTGGGCCTGAAACTGAGTTTATCTTTCTGAGGCTCCAAATTTACCTCGACTGCACAGTGCTTGCCAGGCTCTGCTGCTGACCTTGCAGGTGTTCGAGTGCTGTTAATGTTGCAGAACATGTGAAGGTGCTAGCAACATCACTGCGGACACGAACATCTCACCCAAGCAGGGCAACGCACAGGCGCTGATTTCTTCCTGCTTCCACTGCTAACCACAAGGTCCAACTAGCATGTGTGGCACCACTTTCCCCGCCCACGTGGTGGGCGTGAACCAAATTGTTTGTAGGACTGCTCTTCACACAGAACCCAAGATCAGCATGTCTCGCCGCAACGACAGCTTTCCCATGGTGCATGGTGGTGGCTTAAGGCTATACCAGCCACCAAAGGGTCACATCACCATCATTCTTTTCGGGCTGCCATGGGGGAAATATCGCAAATATGGGCCCGAGCCATTGACATCTCCAACAGTTGTGCGATCTTGGTTGTTTTGTGAGGATGGCTTCCCGATACCACGGCATGAAGGGGTAACATATCTTGTGCTCCAAATCCTGCACAGCAAAGCTGCCGTAGAAGCTGCCTACTACGTGGCCATGGGCCAAGCTACCACAAAGCTCAAAGGCCTCTTCGCGCGTGGGACTCTGTCGGAAGCACGGGTTTCTGCACACAGTTCCATGATTTGTTTTCTGGTCACCCCCCACCCCCGTCCCCCCGTAGTGGACAGAAAGATGTGGAAACAGAGTGCTCTTCGCTCTCAAAGGAAACCGCACCGGAACGTCGTGCTCTGTGGCCACGGCCTCGGGTCACGTTTTGCCGCGCCATTTTTTGGAGCCAACTGTGGCCCTTTGAACAAGCACTCTTCAACTTCATCTCGACTCTTCCTCTCGAGTTAAAGAGGAGAGAGCCCAGTCAGAGAAAGGAGCCGCTCGGAAATGAGAACCCAAGCTCTAGTGCCCAGCAGGGAGTCGCCTATTTCCGGCGCGAACTTAGGAAAGCGGCTCGGGATCCCGAAAGCCTTAACACCCCAACTCCCAGATGGAACCCGCAGGGTCTGGATTTTTTGGAGGAGAGCGCAAAAAGTCGACTGCATCGAGCTCATTTAGGGTGATGGGGTATTCAGAACCTCAGGCTCTCGCTGCTTCTGACTCGGTGCTCCTTTCCTTTTCTTCTCTGACTTCGCGCGGGGCATCTCTAAAACAGGAATGGACATGGTGTCCTTTAATTTGTACTTCTTCTGTAGCTTCTTTGTGTGTCATCCGGGCTCATGTGTTGTGGATGCTTCCTAAGGCCCGTGGTCGTCTGGCAAGACCACGTTGCTCTACAAGCTCAAGCTACCAGGAGCATCTCTGTTGTGAGCACAGAAACGTTTTCTTCAGTTTCCGGAGGTCTATCCTTGACGCCATGTCGTAGTCAACATCGATCAACACTGTGTAGATTCAGCCAGATTGAAACAACAGTTGCACCCATGAAGGCAGCACAGCCACTTGCACTTTCAAAGTTTCTGTCACCAGCATGTGATGGGCTGTTAATCTGCCGGTTACGAAGGTTTCATAAACTCAAGCAAGTCCTTTGAGCCGAGCTGTTCGCTTAAGGCAGCAGAGTGCCTCTGCTTGTAGACAGAGAAGGAAGACACCGAGCCCTGCATTTTTTTTCTCTCTTTGGGGAGCCTCTGTTTGATTTTGTATTCGTTCTTGCAAACTGGATGCGGCGTGGTCCGGATTTCACCTCCGCATTTTTCTTGGAGCTCGACATCAGACCAGACCTGCCCCTCATCAAGCACAGCATCCAGAAGCTTTTCATGCGAGGGCCGCGCTACTATAAAAAGCTGAAAGCTTTACATAATCGTGGGTATGTATACCAGAACAGGTGCAACATGAGGTGTAATGCTTCATGACTGCATGGTATCTCGGCGTTCACGATCCTTGTATCACATACAGCATCAATGAGTACATCAAGCCAAGTGCCGCATAGGCCTTTTAACAAAGGTGGACGACCGAGGAAAGTACTCGCATCAGCATGTATCTGTTTTGCAATCATCTCATTGTAGTACTACATCTGAAGCGGCTGTAAGGAATCGATCACCACAATACCGACGATCGGCTTCAATGTCGATGCTTGGACCGCACATGGCCATGTCACGATGAGACTCATCTTTCGGTCTATGGTTCTTGGTTTTGCCGTTTGATGTGTGCGGTGATGCTCGAGCCGCCATACTCTGCAGATAGCGCAGGAGTCTATCGAGTACAAGTTTCAGGTCTTCGATGTTCACTCCTCGGCATCTGATTGTGAAGGGGGCACTCATTCAGTGAGTCATCGAGTGTGCACCTGAGATTTGGGACCTTGGCCTTCGAAGCAAGTCTCGGCCGCTGGCAGCCGGGCAGAAAATTCAGATGGAGTTCAAGAAGCCGATTGTTGTGTGATGGGTTGTGAAACTCAGCCACACAAGCAAGCAAGTGCCAGATGCTCTGAGAATGTGATCATGTGATTCTGCAATTCAAAGTTGGCACGCCATTCAATACACGCCGGTTGAAGTTCAAGACATTGAGGTGAGACACTACCTCCCAAATTGCCAAGCCTTGGCTTACATGGCCCCTTGACAGCGTTGATTCATGAGTCATCTGCACTTGATCTCCGTGTGTGTGTGTGTGTGTGTGCTTCCAGTCATTTGCAGCTGCATATTTTTTTGACACAACCAAGGTTGATGCTTACGAGGAAAACTTCGAAGACGCCGAGGATGATGCCAAGCTTTCAGACCCCTTCAGCCTTAAGTATCTGATGTCCCGCATTCCCCAGCCATGGCAGGACTTCTTCCAGCTCGTTATGGGGGGTTTAGAAGAATTTGGCCAAGAGCACGTGCCGGTGCTCATCTGGATCAACAAGCCTCCCGGTGAGCACCTTTGAATCGGTGAATGGTGAGGGAATCCCTTCTGCAAGTTATCTAAAGACAAGAACGAAGTTGTTCCAGCTTCTGAGATCGACCCGATCTGCAGCTCTGACTTGCAAGCTGACTGCAAGGATGGATCTGCCACAGAAGTGGCAGCCGGACGATATCTGCAAGAGGCTTGCGGGTTTGCAGATGTTTCCCCTATCGAGCCATGCGTTTCATCAGGATCGGGCTGGAGGATCGCATAAACAGGGGTAATGCGCACTGCAAGAGCATGATGCAGGCACCGCCTTTCTGGTTGACCCATGCCAGACACAGAAGCACGTGCCAAGGGCCTCGAGTTTAGGGCTCTCAGGGCTTAAGCCTGCTGTGGGCTTGGGGCATGTGATCTCAATCTTGGGCATGCACCTGAAAGCTTCGGGCCTAGGGTTGTGAACATGGCTCGGCGCTGTGTCGTTTCCTCTTCACTTGGGTCCGAGATCCGATTGCATTTTTGAAGACAACCTTCTACCCGCCTTATGCCGGTTTTTTGTGCCTTATATCCGTTTCGCCACGCCAATGTCCGATGAACTTGTACGTTCAGCCGGCCGGCGCCCCTCCCCCCACCCACCCCCTTTACCAGCGGGGGCCGGAGAGGCTGATGGTTCTTTTTTCGTATTTTTTCTGGTGTTTTTTTCGTGTTTTTTATGGTTTCAGGTGAACCCTAAACCCTAAACCCTAAACCCTAAACCCTAAACCCTAAACCCCAAACCCTAAACCCTAAACCCTAAACCCTAAACCCTAAACCCTAAACCCTAAACCCTAAACCCTAAACCCTAAACCCTAAATTCCCACCCAGGCCTGCTTAGGCCGTACCCACCCTTTTCAGGGTGCCTGGACCCAGCACTACACCCGACAGCGATTAACACCATCGCTTGGAGTTACTATGCAAGCCTAAAGAGTTGTGTTGAGCGTGAGCTGCACCTCCAGTGCCGGTGCAGTACCCCGCCTGGGGTACCCCGCCCCCCTTCTCGGTACCTGGCGACCTGTTCTGGCAATACCGAAAGTGGCTTCTGCAAATGGTCCCTGGGCCCCCCTCCGGAGCCCCCTGGTGCCGGGCCCCTGGAGCGTGTTCAGGGACCAGAGGGGCCTCCTTCCGACTCTCCCTGACCCCCCCCCTGGTGGCGGACCCCCCCCCTGGCCCCTCGCCCCTAACCCGCCCCCTCGCCCTCTTGGCCCCGCTGGCTGTCCTGCCTAGTGTTGGCCTTCCCTGACCCAACCCTGCACCTGGCTTCTGGCGCCAAATTCCTGCCCCCGTCCACTTCAAGCACAGCCACTACCCAAGGATGGGGGTGGGAGGTGGGAATTTAGGGCGTTAGCCCGAAACCCTAAAAGGAGAAAAGTTGGGTGGATGCCTGCGTAAGCACGGGGCGGGAAAAATAAAACAACCCAACCTTTCTGGTTGTGGTGGCTCAACTTCAATATACGCCGCCGCGACATATGCCGCCCCCTCACACCCCCTGGGTGTGTTGGGGCGCCATCTCCGCATAACCCTAAACCCTAAACCCTAAACCCTAAACCCTAAACCCTAAACCCTAAACCCTAAACCCTAAACCCTAAACCCTGAACCCTGAACCCTAAACCCTAAACGCTAAACCCTAAACCCTAAACCCTAGAACCCTAGACCCTAGACCCTAAACCCTAAACCCTAAACCCTAAACCCTAAACCCTAAACCCTAAACCCTAAAAACCTTAAACCCTAAACCCTATAAACTATAAACCCTAAACCCTAAACCCTAAACCCTAAACCCTAAACCCTAAACCCTAAACCCTAAACCCTAAACCCTAAACCCTAAACCCTAACCCCTCAACCCTCAACCCTCAACCCTCAACCCTCAACCCTCAACCCTCAACCCTCAACC